TGTGGTCTTGCTATGTTGCCCAGGCTGGTCTTGAATTCCTGGGCTCAAGCAATCCTCCCACCTTGATCTTCCAAAGTACTGGGATTACAGAGGTGAACTACCACACCCAGGAGTCTTTTTCATTTTTATAACAGTATCTTTCAAGTAGCAGAAATTATTAATTTTGATGAAGTTCATTTTATAAATTTTTTTGTGCTTCTCGCTTTTAGTCCCTTATAAAATATTAACCTAATCCAGGATACAAGGATTTTCTTCTGTTTTCTACTAGAAGTGTTATAAATTTAGCTCTTATGTTTAAGTCTATGATACATTTTGAAATTAATTTTTGTATGTAGTGTAAGGATTAAGTTCTATTTTTGGAACTTGGATATCCATTTGTTCCAAAACATTTTGTTTCAAAGTTTGTCTTTCCATTATTGAATTATGTTGCCACCTTGGCCAAAATAAGCTGGCCATATACTACTGGCATCTCTGTTCTTTTGCATTTATCTAAATATTATCCTTAGGCCAAAGCCACATTCTGTTGACTATTTATTCATTTCTAAGTAAGATAGTATAAGCCCTGCAACTGGGCTTTTCTTTTAAAAATGGTCTTGGAACAATGAATAATTAGTCTTTAATCAAACTAGTATACATTACACTGTTGTCCAGAGCCACACCAAAATATAATAAGAGAAGTGGCTATTCTTCACAGTATAGTCAAAAGGGAGATAAATTGTCTGGATATTACACAGAAGATCTTATCATTTTGGAGCATGGAGAAAATATACAGAGCTCTTTTTGGAATAATGATCCATAATGAAATAAAAGGTTAAGAGGTCTGAGCAGGGAAACACACCCGTTTACTGCTTTTATAGATGTTTTACTCAAATACTAATAAATGAAAGACTAGTTTTTCTACACACCCCAACCCTACCCCCTGAATCCATAAAAACCTTTCAGTTCTCACTCTAAACACCAGATAAAGAAAAAACAGATGGAATAAAATGAGCAACAGCTGTGGTAGGAAAAAAGGAGGAGAAAAACAGATGCCTGGGTGGCAGACAAAGAGGTTTAAAGACTCATGGGCTATCAAGTCAGGAAGAAGAGAATGAAAGGCAATAATCAGAGTTCCTTTTGTGAATCCAAGATGAACTTTCTATGGACAAACATGCTGTATTACACCAGTGTCTGGACTAAGTGTCCACATGCGATGTAGCGATTCCTTGGCTAATAGAAGGAAATTCTCATTCACACATTGGGCTATATTTTTTCTGAACTTTTATAAGAGATTAGATGGATTATATGTTTAAAGGACAAAACATTACTATTTCTAAAACATCATTATGCAACATGAGCAAAATTTAAAAAAAAACTTGTTTCACAGAGTGTCTGGAAATTTTTACAGTAAATATTTAAGTTATTGTCTAATATCCAAATGTTTTTAGATTGAGTTCTGCAGTATTTAGGAATTTTAAAAATGCTAACCTTAATAATCACATGGCCAATAACAGTGCTGATTTATTTGTTTTTCCTTGTCATATTTAGAGCATGTATATACACATTTAGAAAAAGTTCTATCAATATTTATTAAGTAAGGATAACCAAAATCAGTGAATCAAATTTATTTTTAATGCTTTCATATTTAATGATAATCACTGTTTTGCTACAGGGTAACTAGACATAACAGATAGACAATTTACATAAATAATATATAATTTGTCCACTTCAATACAAAACAAATAATCAGTTTCTCTCCACTTTGTTAATTTTTGTCATACTGACATTTTTTTCCTGAATACCACACAATTTAATCTTTGTGTTTTTCATGCATGCTTCATTCACACACATAAAATTAAATATCTGTATCTTGAAGGTCCCAACATTCTGAGTTCTTTGGTTCCCAAATCTTAAAGCTTTACCAGTGAAATATCCTGAGAGTCTGAGAGTTCTGGAGCTTCTCTTTCTTTCTGTTACCTGGCTAGGAAAATAAATGCTGGAAAACTGGAGGCAGAATAAACACTTTGGTTATGAGGCTGTGACTGGACTTTGGGAATCTCAGCTGAAGAGAGGATACAACAGGGTGCTGTGATGGTGGCCTCTGAGTCCATGACATTTGGGAGTCAGAGAGAAGACCAAAGAGAGAGGGATTGTGCTTAAGGAAGACTAAGGGAAGGAATACAGGTGGGGAACTCTATTCTTCCTGATTCAGCTCTTGGGGTCAGCTTCGGGCACCATAAATTTTCATGGACTTGGAGTAAATTCACTCCCTCATCTTCTAACTACAAAGAAAATCCCTTTAATATAAGAAAAGTCTTGCATCCTTAGTGAAAGCAAAGGGTTTACAAATACAAATATTCGAGATCATTAATTCAGTCTAAATATACTACAGCCCAATCAATAAAATAGTCTCTCCAAACTGTCTCCTTTTGATTAGAAAAAATCAGTTACAAAATAAGCATGAGGGGAAAGTTTGGCAGGGGTGGGAGCAAGTCTCAGAATAGAAAAGGGAAGAAGGGGGGGCCTGGAACATGACTACCTGCAATAGTGCTGCAGAACTGGAGGAGCTTTGAGTACAAAGTTTTTCCCTACTCACTGCTCATTTTGTTCTTGCAGCAACTCCGTGAAGTAGGAGAAATTTCAACACCAGTCTACATGTGAAAACATGGAGGCTTAAAAAGACCATCACAGGGTATATTCCCAGTAGGGGGATTGCGGGGTCATATGGGAAGTCGATATTTAGAGCTTTTAGGAATTGCCACACTGCTTTCCACAGAGGTTGCACTAGTTTACACTCCCAACAATGGTGTAGAAGTCTTCCCTTTTTACCACATCCTCTCCAGCATCTGCTATTTTTGAGTTAATGATAATGGCCATTCTGACTAGAGTTAGGTGGTATCTCAGTGTAGTTTTAATTTGCATCTCCTTGACGATTAGTGAGGTTGAACATTTCTTCATGTGTCTATTGACTGCTCAGATGTCTTCTTTTGTGAAGTGTCTGTTCATATCTTTTGCCCACTTTGTAATGGGGTTGTTTGTTTTTTACTTTTCAGCACGTTTGAGTTCCTTGTAGATCCAAGATGTTAGACCTTTGTCATACATGGAGTTGGCAAATACTTTTTCCCACTCTGTGGGCTGTCTCCCTGCTCTCTTGATGGTTTCTTTGGCTTTGCAGAAGTTTGTCAGTTTAATGAGGTCTCACTTGGCTATCTTATCTCTTATGGCATAGGCACTTTGGGTTTTGTTCAGGAATTGGATGCCAGTTCCAACTTCCATAAGGGTGTGTCCTGCATTTTCTAAAGTTCTTATGGTTTGAGGTTTTACATTTAGGTCTCTGATCCATTTGGAGTTAAGTTTTGTGTATGGGGATATATAGGGGTCCTGTTTCAATCTACTGCATGTGGTCAGCCGGTTTTCCCAGCACCATTTACTGAATAGGTTCTCCTCTCCCCAGTGGTAGGTGGTGGAGGCTTTGTCGAAGATGAGTTGGTTGAGAAATTGAGGTTTTGCTTCTGGAATCTCAATTCTATTCCATTTGTCTATGTGCCTGCTCCTTTACCGATACCAAGCTGTTTTGATTATTGTAGCTTTATAGTAAAGTTTGAAGTCTGGTAATGTGATACCTCCGGTTTTTTTTTTTTTTTTTTTTTTTTTGCTGATGATTGTTCTGGCTATTCTTGGCTGTTTGTGTTTTCATATGAATCCCCGTATTGTTTTTCTAGCTCTGAGAAGAATGTTGCTGGTAATTTGATGGGTATTGCAATAAATCTGTAGATTGCCTTAGGTAAGATGGACATTTTCACAATGTTGATTCTTCCAGTTCATGAGCATGGGATATTTTTCCACTTGTTTGTGTCATCTTTGATTTCTTTTAGCAGTGTTTCATAGTTTTCATTGTAAAGGTCTTTCACGTCTCTAGTTAGGAACATGCCATTACTGGGAATATACCCTGAAGAACTCAAATCAATCTATAAAAAAGATACCTGCACACGTATTTTTATCGCAGCATTTTTCACAATAGCAAGAACCTGGAACCAACCATGCTGTCCATCAAAAGAGGACTGGATTAAAAAAATGTGGTACATATAAACAATAGTACTATGCAGCCATAAAAAGAACAAAGTCATGAACTTTGCAGCAACCTGGATGGAACTAGAGTTTATAATACTGAGCGATCTCTCACAGAAACAAAGATCTGAGTATCACATGTTCTCACTCATAAGTGGACCTTGAACATCTATCGTAATACTATAAGAAAAGGATTGACAGTGGGGGGAAACTTTGGGGGGGCAGGGAGGGGAAGGGAGGTGGGATTAACGGTGGTCAATATCTGTCTGGGGACACCCCTCATCAACAAGGATGCCTGAACGATGCATATTTGTATACCTAACCCTTATCTGTACTCCACAATTTAAAAATAAAAAATATGTTTTAAAAAAAGAGACCATCACAGCACAGCAAGTCAGCCAGGTGACTTGTAGGGCCATAAGAAACTCCAACACAGGCATCTACCTCTAAGTCTCATTCAACTGCCACTTGGCTACTTCTCCCTCTTCTCTGACTTAATAATTATAGCATAGACTTCATTTGCAAGACACTATATCATTTAATTTCAAAAGTGCACTAAAAATTGCATTACAGTGTTCAACTATTAACTTCATATTCAAGAAGAAGGTATTTTAAAGCTATTTTCTCATCCAATGTAGCAATACATAGAAAGTTCCATTACATTGACAGCATGGGAGAAACACTGCTAGCTAAAGACACTGATTTCTGTAAAAGATTTTTAAAAATCCACTTTAATAGTGTAAAAGTATGGTTTGCTAATTTTTCCAAATTGTGTTTTCATGTTAATTTTTTAGGCCAGTCAAATGAAACAGTGGAGTAGAGAAGGAACAAGGAAATCTGAACTGGTTGTAATCAGTTAGCTGTAAACACCACTGTTCTGGGACCAGCCTCATGTCATTTAGTGGAAAAATGATTTGTTTCTTTCCTATCATTATTTTAAGAATAAAAAAAAGTATTTGACCTTTGCTCAAAATAATTTCCTCTTCAGATTATAACAGGAAACGCATTAATATGAAGACATCATTACAATTAATGCACACTGCTTAAAACAGCATTCTCAGAGAGTTCAGAACTAAACAGGGCAAGATGTCATTGGAGCCTTCTTTCCCGCTCTGGCTATTCACACAATTTGACTTCAATGTTGCCATCACTGAATGCTTCTCCTTTGGTTTCCTCGACTGGGTTCTCTCTCTGGGAAAACTTCGCTTTCTTCTGCATCATCGTAATTCCTGAATTTCCATGTCTTCGTGCTGGAGACAAGGTTTCTTTTACTATACAATAACAAACTGCAGACAAAACATTTTTTTTGAAATTTTCATTCATAAATGCATAGACAATGGGATTACAGATGGAGTTAGAAAATCCAATGATTTGCACTATAGCAAAAATCATCTTGATTGTGACATCATCATATTCCTTTTCAAAATCACCTGAAATAAATAAATATATTTTAGAATGCATATTTATCTTGAGGAACATAAAAAATAAAAGTTATGTTTATCATCTGTCTTTATCAAAGATTTACATTTGTACAAATAGTTACAGGTGTGAAAAGTTCACAAGACCATTTTGGGAGAGGCATCTGATGTCTGAATAAAAATAATATTTGTGGTCAGGCACGGTGGCTCATGGCTGTAGTCCTAGCACTTTGGGTGTCCAAGGAGGCAGATAGCTTGAGTCCAGGAGTTCGAGACCAGCTTGGGCAACATAGCAAAACCTCCTCTCTACAAAAAATAAAGATAAAATATAAATTAACCAAGCGTAGTGCCATGTGCCAGTGTTCCCAGCTACTTGGGATGCTGAGGTAGAAGAGCCACTTGAGCCTATGAGGTCGAGGCTGCCATAAGCCAGGATCGTCGTGATCATGCCACTGCACACCAGCCTGGGTGATAGAGTGAAACCTTGACCCAATGATGATGATGATGATGATGATGATGATGATGATGATGATGATGATGATGTTTGTGATGAGTCTTCACTCTTGGAGAATCTAGACTTACAGGTATAGCCTAGTGCCCATCATATGTTAGGAGGCTCATAGCATTTCAACTTGATGACTCCAAGCTTCATGTAAACTGGAAGCAACAGTTACCCTTCAAATGCTTACTTGAATTCCAAAAACAAAACCACACTGAGAACCATGTCAAGTCCTAGGTTATTGGAGAGAATACACTGAAGACCTCACTGTTCACGTCAGGGGTCTCCTTGGGGGACACTTCAGAATGTCACATCTCTGCCAGTGCTTGACTAGTTTAAGGAGAACAGAAGGAGTGACATGGGAAAAGATTCTCAAAGCTTTTTTATATCTTTAGTAATTATTAAAAATTTAGTCATAGTCATACATAATTACCTGTCACATATGGACATGATCTTTGAAAACATGAAAGAAATGTATGAAATGTTTGATATTTAATGATCCAATAGCACCAAATTTCAATGACTCATTGTCTATCGTAGCAGGAAATGAACTAGAGCATCTATTGAATGAGAACGACAAGCACTCACTGTATTCAATCATCATATGAACGACATGGAATGGAGCCCAGCACACAGCAAATAAAGCTACCACCGTCACCATCATAATGACAGCTCGCTTCTTCTTCCTAAACCCACAGGAAACATTATGTTAGTTAACTCTCCCTTGGTAGATGTGCCAAATTGATAGTAAAGCTATTACATAAAGTCTGAGCCCAGCCCATTCAACCATAATTTTATAAGTATGTCCATGATAGGTTAATTATGAGCTGACTATCATCCCTGTTGATACTGACCCATTTTTATATTTCTCAAATCATAAACATCCTTATGTTGTCTGCTCATTATGGGTCTGTCACTCTGCTAGATGCTTAACATGGCTTATGTCATTAATCTTTCCAGCAAGCCATTTGACAGATGCAGAAACTGAGGCACAGAGAACGTTAAGTAACTTGGCAAAGTCAGATGGCTAGTAAGGAATGTATTGAATTTGAATTTACGCAGTCTAACTTCAGTGACCAAGCTCTTATTCACTTTATATTGAAGAGCATTCATACCTGTGATCGCAAGACATCAATATTTATAAAATATGGGAATCCCCAAGGATAGAGTTAAAATGCAAATCTTTATGACATATCTAAATAATATGATTAACCAGTCATTCAAACTAATTTGCTCCATTATTACTAAAAGAGATTTACATCTGCAAGAGATATAAATATATGCATGGTGCTCTAAGTTTATAAAAGTTTATGGTCATTATCTCTTATTTCAACATAGTAACCCTTTCTTCCACGGAAATGGGAGAGTTAACTCAGCATTAGATCCCAAAGTACTGAAGAGTTCAGGGGTCCTATACATTAAGGGAGGATTTCTTATCCAAACTGGGCACTAGAGGGCACTACACACTTGGGGAAATGATAAAATTTCATCAAATCACTGGACTTCTCCATATAAGGCTTTGATTGTTTTTGTTTGGTTGTTAATAGTCATTTAATGTAGATGATAAAATAAATCATATGGGTTACAAGTATCATAGCAGTAAATTGCATTTTAAAATTTATATTAATGAATAAAATCAGAAAGCAAAGCCCTTAGGTAAACATAAAATATATCAATAATAATAAATTAACAGCATGCTCCTGCTTCCAGAGGTATTCATACATATCAGTCGCATGTCTTTTGGCATCATCTCGGGATGGAAGGAAGTCAGGATGGATATTGTTATGCTCCCTGTACTAATAAGGAAGCAGGGACCTCCGGAATTAGAATGATCTATATCCTGTAGCTGGTGAGTGACAGGAGAACACCCACAGGACACACGATCCTGCCATGTCATATTTACATAAAGATGAAAATGTAGCCATGTTCTAAATTCCCAGTCAGCTTCTAACGATCACTGTACCGTCCCCCTTTGATTTGGGAGCTCAGGAGTTTACAGTCAGCTCTTGCCCAAAATGTTAATTACAAAGTATGCTGTAACCTAACTGCAGGGGTTCTGAGAACCCTGGCAATTGTCTCTTCCAGCATGACTAAAAAACATATTTTAAACAGAAGTGAACATCTCCTTAAACAGACCTGGCTATTTTGGACATTTCCTTTCCATGAATAGTTCGAAGCACGGAAGCATCCCCCACTCTTTTCTTTATCCAAAGTTCATAACCGATTTTACTGTACAGGATAAGCATCACCATAAGAGGTAGGAGGAAGAGGATGACAAGGATAAAGGTGGTGTAGATTTTCTGGTGCACAGGGCTGGTCCACTCTTCCAAGCAGCAGATGTGTTCTTTTTCATACAAGAAGTCATACTTAATCTTTATAATAAGAACAATTCAGTTAAAAGAACCAGTAGTTCACATCAAAAGAATAGAAAATAGTCAAGTAGTATTGCAATGCAGCATTTTAAAGCCCTTTTATATTTTCCACTGGTACATATTTCGAAGGAGATACAATTTTAATTGTTCTTTTGTTGTGAAGTATAGTTTTTCCATTTAATTGCTTACATTCTTAATTGCTTTATAGTCTGTTTTCTATTTTCGGTGGAATTAAGGTCCATAGCCTGTCAATTTTTATTTTTTATCTTTCTCAATTTTTATTTTCACTAGTCATAAGTTTTCAATTGGCAAAAGGAACACTACACATACCAAGCACATATTGAAAAATATTTTGCATTGCATGCCAGCTAGTTTAATATTAAATTATTTTGTTTTTTCAGTTGTTGAAGAGATGGACTTTGGCAAGGCACCCAGACTTCTTCCAGTCGAAAAGTACTGAAAGTTATATTTTGTTACTGCTATTTCATATTGCAATTATCAGATTGCTTGGAAAGATATTAAAAAGGAAACTGGTAGCTTTTAAATTCTGAGATGAATGAGAAATTGGAATTCAAGTTATTGCCAATTTGCAAATATTCAGATTGTATTTGTTTTCTGGTTTATTCATGTTGTTTCTGGTAGACTCATCTTATAATTTCACAAATATTATTAACAACAATAATAATAGAAAGTGTTTAAAAATTTAGGGCTTATTTCGAGGACAGACTAAGCATTGTAAGCATATTCAAAAGTCACTTCTCTGGTTAATATGAATAAAAATGAGAGAATTTATCAAAAGTAGTTTCAATAGCCACTCTAGAGCTTTCCAAATGAGTACTTAGGTCTGATACTTATTTCTGACTACGTTCCCAGCAGATTTTATTACCCAATTAAAAAAATTTTTTTTTAATCTTAAATATGTGGGGTACAATTCAGGGTTAGGTATACAAATGTTCATTATGCAGGTACCCTTGTTGATGAGGTGTGCCCCCCCGCCCGGAATTTTCCCACTACTGCCAATCCCGCCCCTGCCCTCCCCTGGCACTTTCCCATGACTGCCAATCCCTTTCTTATAGTATTACGATAGTTGTTCACTTATGAGTGAGAACATGTGATACTCAGTTCTTTGTTTCTATATTATCCATTTTTAATATCAATTGAATGGAGGAAAAGATGCATTTTGGTTACTAGTCAAAGCTAAGAAAGTTCCAATTCTGATCCAGGTCTAATTTACAAACACATACTGAAATATATTTTCAAGAGTCACACTTCCTGGGAATAGGATGTTAAAATGAAATTCAAGCCGGGCTCGGTGGCTCAGCCTGTAATCCCGCACCTTTGGGAGGCTGAGGTGAGTGGATTGCCTGAGCCCGCGGGTTCGAGACCCGCCTGGGCAGCGAGACTTCATCTCTACAATAAAATCAAAAAATTAGCCGGGCGTGGTAGTGAGTGCCTGTAATTCTGGCTACGCGGAAGGCTGAGGCGGAAGGATCGGTGGAGCCCAGCAGGTTGAGGCTGCGGTGGCCAGGAGCGGCCACTGCACTCCAGTCTGGGCGACAGAGTGAGACTCCAACTCAAAAAAAAAAAATGAAATTCATTCTGACTCCACTTAGGCAGAGCTAGCAAGGACCAGTGATCATGGTGGCCATGTTCTCATACATCCTAAGGCATGCTAGACTGGTAGCCTCCAAATGGGTTTACATACCCCTAGGGACAAACAAAGACTTCCTGGGGCACACTCAGATGACTTTACAGAAAACAACTTCAGATCTTCTATTTCCAAACATATGCTTCTCTAAAATTCCACTGTTTCATGTAGTCCCTGAGGTTGAAGTATCATGCTGGGTCTACATTCCCACTTCCTCTTTCATAATCACCCTTCTTCCAACTTACACAAGTCACATCTTCCACCCAGTCTGAATCTTATCATGGGGCACCAAAAGAAGAGAATATTTAAGTACTGAAGTCAGTGAAGTCACCTTGATCACAGCATCAAAAACCCATGGTAGTGCTTTCTGATTTTCCCTGTCTTAAATACATTTCTATTCAGGGTAAAGCCTCGCAGAGAAAAAATATATTTTGACAGTGTTGGGAAGTTGTGAATTCTCATTTTTTATACAGTGAGAAGGCAGAAGTGATGACAATTTTATTTAACCATCTCGTTGCTTCCATCACCTGAAAATTGCAAAGTGCATCCCTCATGAAAGAGAGCCCAGTGAGAGCGAAGCAAACAGAACAAGGGGAAAATGCCAATGGCAGTGTGCTTAATATCATTCAGGTGAGAAACTCAGGCTCCCTGCAAACTCACCCTGGTTCCTTAATAGAATTTAGGAGTGGGAAGCTGCCATGGAAAGCATATTAATACACTGAAGAATGAAATCAGACTTTTTCCTGACAGGAGGCAAATCTGATTTGGGTAGTCTGTTTGGCAGTGAGTTATATATTTATATATTTAGTTATATATTTAGAATATTATTTAGAACAGGGGTCCCCAAACCCTCGGCAGCAGACTGGTACCGGTCCATGTCCAGTTTGGAATCTGGTCACACAGCAGGAGGTGAGGCAAGGGCAAGCAGAGCTCCATTCTCTGTCAGATCAGCAGCAGTATTAGATTCTCATAGGACCTTAAACCCTATTGTGAACTGCGCACGTGAAGGATCTAGGTTGCAGACTCCTTATAAGAATCTAATGCCTGAAGATTCCCTCCCACCCAGTAGACTGTGGAAAAACCATCTTTCACAAAACCGATCCAGATGTCAAAAGTGTTGAGGACCACTAATTTAGGCTACATAATAAAATGATTTTATTTTTTAAATTTTATTTTAAAAATTGATAAATCTGTTTGTCTTCTATGGGCTAGGAATGGATCTTACAACCTGGGACTAGACTGAATCATTTCTAAAAGGGCTCCAGCAGTAGGGATTTCCTGCTGGAGATCAGGGCAGCCTCAGCAGGAGGGAGCTGGCCAGACCCCATTAGTGTGGAAGCTGAAAGGTCTTCATGAGCAGTTGGCTGGAGAAGGAAGTGGCAGTCAGAAGCCTCAATGGTGTTATCTTTGAGAAGCTCATGAAATAAAGAATCAATCATGGGCAAGAGCCATACCCAGAGAGCACCGATCCCAGAGAACATCTACCCCTTCCTTGCCTCATTTTTCTCTTGGACTTCTGAGGAGAGAGAAGTGGCCAACTGGATGGAGTAGGGGGAAGGACAGGAGAAGAGAAAAAGAAACACAAGGCAAGGAAACAGAAAAGAAGCCAAAAACAATCCCCATCACCTTTTTATGCCTAAAACCTATTTAAGCTGGGAGTAAGGAGACATTTTAAATTAATTAAGAAATTTTAAATTGATTTATGTGATTGTGTTTCTAGATTGAACATTTTAATAACAGAACTAACACTGTTCGTGTGACTCAAAGTGATCAGAGAGCTTCTGTTATCCGAATGACTGGAAGAATTATAGTCAAGGTTTCACCCATGATATTTTATCGTGAGGACTAAGAAGTTGTAGGATGGCATTTTTACATGTAGCAAGAGATAAAATAAAGTTGCTTTCTGCTCTCACCTATGAAGTGAAGCCCATTCAATAAAACATTTACACTTAAGAAGAAAAAAGATCAGGCCAGGCATGGTGGCTCATGCCTGTAATTCCAGCACTTTGAGAGGTTGAGGAGGGCAGATTGCTTGAGCCCAAGAGTTCAACACCAGTCTGGGAAATAATAGCAAAACATCATCTCTAAAAAAAAAAATTATTCAGGCATAGTAATGTGCACCTGTAGTCCCAGCTACTCAGGTGGCTGAGGTGGAAGGATCGCCTGAACCCAGGAGGTTGAGGCTGACGTGAGTTGTGATCATGCCACTACACTCCAGCCTGGGCAACAGAGTGAGATTCCAACTCAATCAATCAGTCAATCAAATCAGGCTGTTTATTAAATGTACTCTTACTCTAGGGTTCATTTGTTATCCTTGCTTATGGATGTGGCATGCCCAGTAAAGTTTCACATTTGCCTATCTCTATTTTTAAAAGGTACAAAGAGATACATCATGTGAAAAGTATATCAAGGGGCATATGAGCAACCCACTCCTGTCTTTGAGGACTATTTTACATGTTAGACCAGCTACGCAAGGTATGCCCCAACGAATTGGCAGGTCTGCCAAAGACCAACACAGTGCTCCCATGCGTGTGAGTCCCCATGCGTGGCTGGACCCATCTGACAAAGGTATGGGGAAAGGAGAGAAGTTGAATAATCTTGATTTTCTGACAATTTTCCAATTAGAATTTCAATTTGTCAATAACTAGGAGGCAGGTAAGAAAGGACTTGTGAAGGAGAATCAACTAATAAGTAGACAATCTATTATATTTTTTGTGACATAAAAATAAAAGAAACATCTAGAGCAATCATTCTACTCTTAAAATGTAACAGGACATTTGGGGACACTAGAAAAAGCATGCTCTGCTTACAGAAAAATGCAGAGAGTGACCTTGGTATTTTTAAAAAATGTATTTTAAGCACTAAAGTCTTAACAGCATAATATCAAGAAAAGCTAGATAAAACAGGGGAAAAAATCTTAAAACAAATTATTTTATTCTACTTGAAAGACTTTCAGTGAAATAACTGAGGATATACAAATATGTTATAGTGCTCTTGCTGGAAGAAAAATAGTGAGAAAATAGTGAGAAATAGTGAGAAATAGTGAGAAAATAGTGAGAAAATAGTTCAATAATATGATTCTCAACCCCATCCTCAAGTGTACCTCAAGTCGTTGCACGTGCCACATGGGTGATCCCACGATGACTGCCACCAGCCAGACCACACCTGTAAAAAATGTTACAATCATCAGAATATGACTCAGTTGAGTAAAATACAGCTATACATAATTCTCTGCCCATAAAGACCCCTTACATCAGGGCATCCAGTCACCACCCCAGAGCTATGGTCTCCTACTCTCTTACCTCCCTCAAAATTGCTGCTGGAATAGTCCTCCTCAAGCATGTTTTAGATGTTTTAGGAAGTACTTTAACAGTATTCTATTGACTATGCAATAAAACCCAGATTCCCTAGCATGGCCAAGAAGGGTCTCCATAGTCTCAACTGGCTCTCTCTTCTCTTTCACTTCAGTCCATTGTCTCATACCCCAGTCCTTCACTGAGGAGCTTGCAGAGTTGGTTTCAGTTCCCATATCCCAGAATGCACTGTGCTGCTCCATGCGTCCCCATTTTTACCTTGGACTGGCCACTCTATCCCCACTTTCGGTGGACTCAATTTCCGGGAATTGAGTCCACAGAAGTCATCTTCCTTAGGGAAACCTTGAAGGCCACCACCATTTCCAAATAAACTGACTGCTAATTCCTTGTTGTCTCTATGTACCCTTTAGTGCAGCCCCTCTGTTGCCCTTACCCACTTCTCAATTTCTTCTGAATTTCTTGAAGGCAAACAATGCCTTCATTTATTTTTGCTTGCTTGTTTCCTTAAATAATATTCCTAGGACATTTTCAAATTTGTGTTGTATCGTTTATACACAGAATTCAAAGATTTATGGGCTTTTAATAATTGACATCCTTCTAACATCAAGGACATCAGAAGACAGCATAAATTCCTCAGTAGTGGTGATCCATGTTTGTTGAAAGGATGAAAAACATTTAAATATGACATAGACACCCTCTATCATTTCTTCTGAAAATCAAAAGTACTAATTTAAAAATTAGACAGGAATGGTGATGTGTGCCTGTAGTCTCAGCTACTCAAGAAGCAGAAGCAGAAGGATCACTTGAGCCCAGGAAATTGAGGCTGCAGCGAGCAGGGATTTTCCCACTGCACTCCAGTCTGGGTGACAGAGTGAGACCCTGACTCAAAAAAGAAAAAAAGATCGAAAGTGTATTTATCTTAGGCACATAACATGAACTTTATTTTCTTATTTACAAAGTAAACACCTATAACTTCAAAAACCAGGATGGTCTTTCCAAATTCTCTGTCCTCCACAAGTTTATTCAGAGGAATTGTTTTAATGATGTAGCCTTAGCAAAGAAAAAAGACTTTAACTACCTAGGCGCCATTTCTACCTTTGTGTGTGTGTGTGTGTGTGTGTGTGTGTGTGTGTGTGTGTGTGTGTGTGTGTGTGCGCGCGCGCGCTGGAGTCTCACTCTGTCACTCAGGCTGGAATGCAGTGGCATGTTCACAGCCACCACAACCTTGACATATTGGGCTCAGGCAATCCTTCCAAGTAGTCGGAACTATAGGCACGTACTACCATACCTGGCTAATTTTTTTATTTATTGTAGAGATGAAGTCTCATCAAGTTGCCCAAGCTGTCCTCATACTTGTGGGTTTAGGTAAACCCTTCACCTCGGCCTCCCAAAGTGCTGGGATTACAGGTTTGAGCCACCGCATCTGGCCTACCTGTGAATCTTAACAGAAAAGGAAGAGGACAGAACCAAGCGTAATAATTTTGACTTTGCAAAAAATTTACCACCTCAAACTCTGTCCTTTCTCTATTGGATGGAACCATTAAGAACATAGTGTATTGCTTTGGGTTTTAAGGAGCCGAGGCTCACTTAAGCCATAATTGGGGTTTATTATAAAGAAACACATGAACTGCCTATAGAAATTCATCATGATCCAGTTAATTCAGATAGTTATAGGGCTCACAAGTCTGTCTCTATTTCTCACTCTCTCTCTCTTTTTCTCCTTGCATCACCATACACATATATTCTAATCAAATATAGAATATATATGTGTTATCTTATGTTCAATAATTTTTCCAATCCTTAGTATAAATTCTGGAGTCATTGAGCCTAACTGGCAAAGCTCATTGCCTATACTCGTGGGTTGCTTGACTATTCACAGATAGAAGGGTTACAGCTCGATGGATATTATTGATACAATCGGTGACCACGTCTGGACAAGACTACCTAGAAGGTCTCCTCTAGCTGCAGCCCGGGGTCTGGGCAGTCTCAGCTGGCAGGACGGACAGAACATAACAGCCAGAGACTCATAAGGCTGGTTCATAGTGTAACTGACCTATTGAAGACGTCAGGCAATGGTGCACAAAAGACTTCAGGGGAGGCTTCTTTCTCCTATGTCTTATTTGAGTAGGAGCTGTCTATTATCAACTATGCTTTCAGATGTTGAGAACCCTGTCTCTTCTCTTTCCTTTTTAATAACTCTTTGCCTCTACATATTCTGTTCCTTACCCTCTTTCCATCCCCACATGCTGTTTTCAGATGTTCTTGATGTTAGAAGGATGTCAATTATTAAAAGCCTAGAAATCTTTGAATTCTTGGTATGAAAGATATGACATAAATTTGAAAATAACTAACTAAAACTAACACTTTTCCTCTTAATGATTTATCTATTAATTTCAAACTATTTAAAATGAGACTCCAACTCAAAAATAAATAAATAAATAAAAATAAATAAATAAAATGAATGTGGCATTGCAAAGCCTTCAGGGGTTCTTTCTGTAATTCCCCAACCCAATACTGGCTAAGTTCTGACAGCAGAAATGTTTACTCATTCTTCTCAAATGAAATGTTAGTAAATATTGCTTTCTTCGATTATCACAGGAGTTGCTTGTTATACCTCTGATTATTTAACTGTAGTAAATCCAGATCACTGTGAATCACATTTAGGTTTTAAATGACTCAATTATTCAATGGAGAAATTCTTACATTTTACCGTGCTAAGCTTTAGGACATTACCTTAAATTTATCATTTATCATGAGCCATATGTTCATCATGATTTGCTGAATTGGAATTAGTACAGCAGCTAAGAATCCAGGAAGGCCTAAAGCGAAAGTATAAAGTGGGTGGGATTTTTCTTTGTCAGGCATCATCAGTACACAGTGTTCTCATGCACTCTGTGACCTTCTACTATTGTGTACTCACCACCAGGACCACTCTGTGCAGCAACCCTGTTCTCCATTTTTCTAAAAACACATTTCCTGTTCCATCCTCCCCATCAAAATCTACCTGCCCTTGTTATCTTAGATGAGAGTCTTCTTATCTCAGGGTGACACTTTATTAATCTAATGAATGTTAATGCAGCAGTGCCACTGATGGGTTATCTTAAATTAACTAAATGTTGTGCTTAAAAGCCTAAGACTAAAACTGAAGAAGTATATCCAAAATAATAGATTTTCAGTGCTGGGTAGGCCTACAGGAGAGATGGGGTGGAGGTGGAGGCAAATAGGGGAAAACCTGCAACCCCAAATTATACCCAATGCCTACAGATTAGATGAGAAGCTACTCTTCTAGACATGGTTCCCTTTGCTCTGTGCTGAAGAATGTCATCCGCACTGCCACTGGCACATCCAGTGGCCTCACCTAGCATTGTGAATGCCCTTCGGTTGGTGTACTGCCACTTCATTTTAAAAGGATGCACGAGTCCTTGGTGCCTTTCCACAGCAATGCAGGTCATAGTGAGAATTTCTGTTACAACAGCAGTTGACTGGACAAATGGCACCATTTTGCAAATGAAGGCCCCTGTAACAAGGAAATAAAACAAGTCATACATCAAAAAGACAAAAGTTTTGTCTGTTTCTTTGTAATTATTATGGTTAGTTAATTCTGAGCCTCTGTTCAAGTTTCATGGCTGTAATTATATTATTAAACACAAAATAATTGAAAAAATTGCATTGGCTTATGTTTTCTCTTTCTAACTGGATTCTAAGCCCCTATGTAATTATGCATAAGACAAAGAGGGGACAAATCAGTATCTAGCCATTGAAAATAAGTAGGAAAATCAATGTGAACTTTTGCAAGTCAGTGTGAACTGGTCTCCTGGGATCCACACTAGAGTGATCTTTGACTCTTTCTTATCTCTGGTTCCCTGTCAAATCATAACAAAGGAATAATTTCCATCAAAGACTTCCATATTTCTTGTCTTTTATTTGCCTTTGAATCCCTGTCCAAGACATTTTATATGGATTACACAATTACACTCCTAATTGATTTTCCTTTTTCTAATGCAGAGGTCCCAAGTTGGTGGTGACTGGGCAAGGTTTGGCCTGCAAACTTGCTTTCTTTGGTTTACAAAATATTTTAAAAATATTTGAATACATTGTCAGTCTCTTAAGATGTTTATACATCTGTCTGGCCCTTCACCATTTGGACTTGTTGGTCCTGGTCTGGCATCTCTCTTCTTGAATCTATCCTGCCCACTGAATGCTGTGCTTAAAAGCCTAAGACTAAACTGAAGAAGTATATCCAAAATGATAGATTTTCAGTGATTGCCAAATTCATTAGTGCCAAATTCATTAGTGCTAACTCAGAGAATCATAAACTCAGGAATTATCAGTTAGAAGAGCCCTCAGAGGTCACATAGTCCCAGCTCACACCAAAAGCAGAATCCTCTCTTCAACTTCTCTTCAGAATGCTCTGCCAAGCTCTGCTTAAACACAGGTGGAACATCCCTCATCCCCATATCTTAAATCTGAAATGCTCCAAAATCTGAAACTTTCAGGGCTAACATGATGCCAAAAGTGGAAAATTCTATACCTGACCTCATGCAACAGGTTTCAATCAAAACACCAAACCATTAAAAATATTGTACAAAATTACCTTCAAGATATATGAAAGGGGTATATATGAAACATAGATGAATTTTAGGTTTAGACTTTGGTGCCGCTGCCAAGATATCTCCTTGTGTATATGATAACGTTCTAAAATCTGACAAAATCCAAAATCTGAAACACTTCTGGTCTCAAGCACTTCAGATAAGGGACATCCAACCTGTACCTCTACAGGAGCCCTCCTTGCTGTCACACTCCCAACAGCCCTTTGTGTGACTTTTCCTTCTCCTTACAGTGTTCTTCCTTGAGATAATTACTCCACATTCTTCCCTGAAGTCTGCTCCAATGTCACTGTGATGCTTAATTCTATGTGTTAATTTGACTGGTTTAGCTGGCAGAACATTATTTCTGGGTATGCCTGTGCAGGTATTTCTAAGGAAGAAACTAGCATTTGAATCAGTAGACTGGGTGAAGAAGATTGGCCCTCACCAGGGAGACCCTCCATTGAGGGTCCAAATTGTGCAAAAAGGCAGAGGAAAGGCAAATTTGCTCTCTGCTGAAGCTGGAACACCCACCTTCTCCTGCCTTTTGACATCAGTGCCCCTGTTGCCTGGATCTTCTGACTTGAACTAGGACTTATACCCTGGCTCTCAGCCCTTCGAGTTTGGGCTGGATATCACCGCTGGCTTTCTTGGGTCTCCAGTTTGCAGATATCAGGTCATAGAATTTCTCAGTCCCCATAATCAAGTGAGCCAGTCTCTCATAATAAATCTCCTTCTCTATATCTCTATATATCTCATTGGTTCTGATTCCCTGGAAAACTTGACTAATACAATCCCCTTCTTAACGAGGCTGACCTACTTTTACAACCATATCTATAACTGCAGCCTGTCTCATTCCCTTTCTATCTCCTCTCATTTCTTATCTCCTTTATTTTACTTTTTTCATAATCTTTCCACATTTTAACATATTGATATGTAAGATATATGTTGCTAATTTGATTGCTTTATTTATTTATTTTAGTTATTGATGCTTTATTATTTATTTATTATCTATGTACCCCTACTGGAATGTAAACATCTTAAGAGCAAATATTTTTATCTATTTTTTTCATTGATGTAGTCCCAGCATTTAGAATGGCACTCAGTAGGCCCTCAATTAATATTCATTGAATTTAAGAGAATAAATGACTCCTCACTTCTAAAGGCATCCCATTCAGTTTTAAAGAGGCTCTAATTGGAAAAAGTGCATTTCAGTTCCCACCACTTCTAGTTTTGTTCTCAGAGTCTCAGAATCAATCGACTATCTTTTCCAAATATTAGCTCCACATATATTTGAAAGAAGTCTCCAGGTCACTCCTAAGTCTTTTCTTTTCTAGTTGCCCCAGCTGTGCCTCATTTGCTAGGCTTTTCAGAGCTTCCAAAAAGATCCATGGAGAAGGGAACCCACCATGAACCATGGACCATGGACCATGCAGAAGCAAACCCACCACGGTCAGGATGTGGTCTGGCCAAGGCGTAAACGATGACACTATATTGACTCCCACAGGTCTTGAACACCCTCTTCTGTGACTGCAACTGACATCTTCATCAGCCTTCTATGCTAGATTTTTTCAAATGGCTGGCTTCTGTTAAACTTGAAATGAATTTGAAATGAATTGGGTGACTTTAATAGAAATGTTTGTGAACCCCAAATGCCCCTCCCTCCTATCCTATGCCTAAGGGAGGAAAAGATATTTAGATATCACTCTAGACACTCCCTTTCTAGTCCTTTTTGGCAGCTCCAAATGGCAACCCATGAGCCAATTCTACCCACTCCCAAATCCAAACCCTGTTCAAAATTAAGGACCAGTTTTGCTTAGAAAGTTTAGATGCGAAGTGCAGAAATTTCCTTTCAATGCTATAAATTTCACTGTGTTTGAATATTTACTATACTATGAATGAATTAGCTTACTTCAAGTTGTTTTGGATACGATACTTGAATAAATGAATAGGTGTATAAATTATTAATCTGGATATTTCTTTTTGATTTCACATTCAATCGAAAAATTTTCTATTCTTTCAACCAAATTGTTTATTAAAATGTTAAACAGTTAAAATGTTAAACAGTTAAATGTTAAACAGTTAAAATGAGTCCATTATTAATATATTTTAGATATAACTATCCAAATAAGAATTTTTGTTGCCTTGTTCATTGTAGTGTTACTTCACTCTACTGTTATTCATGCTAAATGTATTCGTTTTGTCTGTTATACTAGCATAAGACATCTGCCAATTGGTTCCCTTACATCAGGAAATACCCTGGTTTATCTGGTATAATTATTAGTTGCTGTGAATCTCAAGTTCATTATTTGTAACAAAGGATTAATAGTACCTGTCTGTCATAGGACTAATACTTCATAAAATGACACAAACACCTAGTACAGGATGTGCTTTTTAATAAACAGCAGTTCTTTTTTCACTGGGCAACTCAATTAAAAGAATTAATGTAAATTTGGTATACTTGGGGCTAATATGCTCTTTGTCTTTTAAAGTGGCCATTAAAGGACATCAACTTTAATAATCTTATTTTCCAGGTAAAGATTTTGCATTTCAAATAAGTTAAATTATGTGCTTATGGCCACACAGCTATTAACTGACAGAATGAGAGTACAAGTCCATGTCGTCTGATACCAGTTCTTTGTTACATCACTCTCACTTATCTATGTGGGAATTTTCTTGTCTACATGCTCATAAATCATCCATTTAATAACCCACTTGAGAATTTTGCACCAAGCTGTAGTTCTATAATCTGTCATCTTACCCTTTTAACAAATCTAGGCAGCAATTTCCCAATTCATTACTCCTGACATGTCTCCAACCAGCATTCTAAGAAATTACTGACAGTGCCTCCTTGATCACATCTCCAAGTTTCTTCAATGTTCTGACATGCAATTTACCTAGGAGGTAGACTTGAGTTCTTATAAAAAACAGGTAGATGCTCTTTTGTTATCTACTCACTTATCTTAGATATTTATTTATTTTTGTTTGTTTTTTTGTTGTTTTGTTGTTGTGTTGTTGTTGTTGTTTTGAGTTGGAGTCTCACTCTGTCACCCAGACTGGAGTGCAGTGGCCGCTCCCGGCCACCGCAGCCTCGACCTGCTGGGCTCCAGCGATCCTTCCACCTCAGCCTTCCGAGTATCCGGAATTACAGGCATGCGCTACCATGCCCGGCTGATTTTTTGATTTATTGTAGAGATGAGGTCTCGCTGCCCAGGCGGGTCTCAAACCCACGGGCTCAGGCAATCCACTCACCTCAGCCTCCCAAAGGCACGGAATTACAGGCTGAGCCACCGAGCCCGGCTCTAGATATTTATTTTTATGCTAGCTATGTTTGCCTTTTCTAATTGGGAGATCATCTTTTAAGGTCTAAAAGACTGAAGTGAAATAGACATTGAAGAGTTTTGCTTTTTCTCTGTCCTTCATTAAGCTAAAATTGACCTTCCCTTTCATTTTCAGCTCCTTGTTCTGATAGTCTTTCTGATGGCTCTTCTGTCAACTCACCGTACACTTTAGTCTCTTCAGTGTGAATTATATAGATCTAAGCTGTTTTTGTGTCTTTTGTAACATTTCTTCTCATAAATGGCAATTTTAAACTGAGATAATCATAAATTCCCTATACAGGGCATTGTTTCCTTGGGATGTCCTTCTTCTTTTTCTTGTAGAATTATCTAATTTTAATGAGTTATGTTTCTTAAAGCCTTCCTGGAATGGATATTTCTTATATTCTAATTATCCAGCATCCACCTGCATTTCTCCTAATGGCAACATGATTTCCTTCTAGAACGTTAACTCTCCCCAACAGCAGGCAGGTTAGGTAAGGGCCCCTACTTAAAAAGATAAGGTAGGAATGGGTGAAAGCCTCTCTGGTGTTGAAGAAGTGAGATGCAGATGGGAGGGAGGTATGAGATAGTCACCTGCTCATCAGATCATA